CGCCTTTACCCACTGACCTCACCAGCCCCCAGCTAATTTTTTGAGGGGGGGTTTAATCCAACTCAAATCTTTCTGCCTGCAAAGCACACACTTTAGCAGCACCCGCATCTGCTCTCAGCTCCAGGCTTGGGATGTTAGATTTCTGGGGCTCTTGGAAAATGAACAATGGCTTCAGCCTCTCCGGAAGCTTTCCCATGTATTTCAGGAATGCTGGGAACACAGTTCTGAAACACAGACAAATGCCCGTGTGGAGAACTGATCAGAGGCCCCTGGGGCAGCGCTGCGGGGGCGGGGATGGCAGCTGTAGCAACAGCAGTTGTGAACATTTTAGTTTAGAGAATGCATTTGTCTTTTGCTGGCTTCTCCCAGGAGTGCCGGACTCCCAGGCTGCTGGAATGTCCCTAAGTTTCTGCCCAACACTTAGAGAGTTTATCCTTTATTTTAAAAATTTTTATTGTTTGCTGTTATTGTTTTGTTTTTTCCAATGCAGAGTCCTTACATAGTTCAGCCTGGCCTTGAACTCACTATGTATCTAAGGATGACTGGAACGCCTGATTTTCCTTCCCCAACCCCCAAATGCTGGGATTACAGGCATGCACCACCATATGCCACTTTATCTTTGAATGGAATTCTGACTGGAGAGGTGGCTCATGGGATAAAGGTGCTTGCCATGAATCCTGCCACCTCTACGTAATCCCTGGGAGCTGCATGGTGGGAAAAAAGAACTGACTTTCACAAGTTATCCTCTGCCGTCCACACATGCGGTTTGCTTTGTGCTCTGCCCTCTCCCCTCAATTAAAAAGAATAAGCGTTGAATAACAAGTTATATGAATCACACCTTCTCAATAGGATTTCCTGGTTTTGTTTGCCCCTGTCTCCCGAGTGCTACGAATACAGTGTGTACTACTATAGAACAGCAACAGCTACAACAAAAAAGATGCACCAGGGACTGGGGATACAGCTCAATTGATAAAGTGTTTGTCTGGTGTGAACGGAGAGTCTTGAGTTCGATTCCCAGCACCACCCATAAACAAAGTTGTACTGAGTTTGGTCCTCTGAGAAAGCCTGTGTTCTGCATGAGTCTATTGGCTGTTCCCACCTGTTGGGCTACCAGGTGTCCTTCCGTTAAATAATAGTGTTCCTTAGTATTTATTGATGGCTATCATATTTCAGGCACATGGTTCCAAGTACATTGTCTGAATAATTCATTTGATCCCCTCAGCAAATCCACAAATTAGATGCTGTTAATATTATTTTATTTTAGGGAGACAAGGTCTCACGTAGCCCAGGCTGGCTTCAAATTCTTTATGTAGCCAAGGATGACCTTGAATTCCTGACACTCTTGTCTCCATTTCTTTCTTTTTTGTTTTTGTTGTTTTTAAAAAATAGAGTTTTTAAGACAAGGCTTCTCCATGTAGCCTTGGCTGTCCTAGAACTCCCTCTGTAGACCAAGCTGGCCTCGAACTCATAGATTTGCTTGCTTCTACCTCCCAAATGCTAGGATGCTGGGATTAAAGGTATGTGCCATTACTACCAGGCTCCAAAGTTTCTCCCCTTGAAAAAGATTTCAGACGCAACACCACCCAGCAGTGGGGGATGGGAAAGTGGAGAAAGCATCTGTGGTATTTACTCTCCCTCCTCCAAAGAGAACAGCTGCTGCTGAGGCCCATTTCACAGTGCCAGCTGTGTGACCTTAGAGGAGTCATTCAACCTCTCTGAGCACCCTTGCTCATAGAAAAATCAAAAGAATACACTCGCCATGTCTTGTGTATAAATGCCACAATGAAAGCCATGATCCTGTTTGCCAATTAATAAAAGTTACTTTAGAAAATAATGACAACCTGGCTTGGGCCCACTCACCTAACCTAGCATGCACATAGGTCATGAGCTAAGGTCGTGGCAGTGCATGAAGTAGACATGGTGACGAGACACATCATGTAATTCCAACAGTCAAGAAAAGGAGACTGCCATGCACGGAGGTGCACACCTTTAGTCCTGCGGTTGGGAGACAGGCAATTTGATCTGTAAGTCTGAGTCCAGCCTGGTCTACAGAGCTAACTTCAGGACATCCAGGGCTACACAGAAAATCCCCATCTTGAAAACTCCGAATGAAACCAAACACAACTTCAAATAGTTGTGTGCTCCCACTGCTGTCTTGGAGACAGGAGTAGAGTGATGACGTCAAAGAACGATGTCATCTACTACACTCATGCTGGAGAACTGCACAATCGGATTACAAAAGAATTACCTAAAAAGCTCGTGTTCTTCTGCCTTTATGTGTGGTGGATTATGTGCTCCTGTAGGTGTGTTCGTGTGTGTGCGTGAAGGACGGAGGCTGATGGCTGATGGTAGGTGTCTTCCTCTATTGCCTTACATCCTACTTTTAATTACATTGAAGTGTGTGTGTGTGTGTGTGTGTGTGTGTGTGTGTGTGTGCATCAGTGTGCCATGGTCCACAAGTGGAGGCCAGGGGACAACTTGCTGGAGTCGCTCCTCTTCATCTACTACTTGAGACCTGAGGTTCAAACTCAGGGTGTCAGGCTTGACACAAACGCCTTTATCTGCTGAGCTGTTCCCCAGTCCCATGCTTTACAGATGGAAACACCGAGTTCCAGCTCTCACTGAGCCCGAGGCTAGCACAACCCTAAATCTTTACTGGGATGTACCCTGCATGACGCCAGATGGGACAGGAAGCCTGGCCCACGCTCTGTCTCAGCCTTTACTCCTAGTATTGTCCTGAGGACCGAGCAAATCCCGAGATGATCCAACCCTGCCAAGAGTGGGTAACCTCTAACCTGTAAAATGTCCTTGATAGAAGCTGTAGAACATGCCTGTGCTTAGTAAAGGATTGGGGGAGAGAGAGAGAGAGAGAGAGAGAGAGAGAGAGAGAGAGAGAGAGAGAGAGAGAAGAGAGAGAGAGAGAGAGAGAGAGAGAGAGGAGAGATGCTACGAATCTGATCTACATTCTTGTACATGCTAGGCAGACAGTCTACCACTGAGCCACGCCCCCAGCCCCTCCCTGGGGGATTCTAGGCAGGGGCTCTACCACTGAGCCACGCCCCCAGCCCCTCACTGGGGGATTCTAGGCAGGGGCTCTACCACTGAGCCACGCCCCCAGCCCCTCACTGGGGGATTCTAGGCAGGGGCTCTACCACTGAGCCACACCCCCAGCCCCTCACTGGGGGATTCTAGGCAGGAGCTCTACCACTGAGCCACGCCCCCAGCCCCTCACTGAGGGATTCTGGTCAGGAGCTTTACTACTGAGCTACAGCCCGTATTTTGCTGGGAGGATTCTGGACAAGAGCTCTAACTCCTAGGTCCATCTTCAGAGATCTTCCCCCACCCTGCCCCCATCTGAGACTGGTTCTCACTGTATAGCTCAGGCTAGACTTGTTCCTATTGCTTGGGGCTGGAATTACAGTCTTCTACATCATCTGGCTGTTAGGTAAGTGTCATGAGCCACCCACTCTGGTGACTTGTTATCTGGTCCACCATAGCCCCAAAGACACATAACCCGTATGTACCTTCTAGCATGGGTACCCCAATATATCACACTCAACTCTCTTCACCTTCTTCCCTGAATTGCCCATCCTGTCCCCTGAGAGTCCCTCCAATCCCAACTTGGTTCTTTTGTCTGTTACCAAGTCTTGCTATGTTGCCCAGGCTGGCCAATCTTCTTGCTTCCAACTTCCTAGGGCTGGAATCACCCACCGCCGTGCTCAGCCTGGCTCTGTTTTATTTTGCGGAACGTCCATCCTTCCCCAGTTCTCACGAGTCTTGGAGGTGGGGTTAGTCTCACAGAATAGATAGCCCCTCCATGGGATGTGCGATTGACACTTAGGATCTTTTTTCACACTCCTCATCCATCTCTCCCTCCAGCCCTGAAAGATTTGGGAGTCCTGCTTTATGGGGAGGGGGGCAGTTTCAGTGCCTCCTCCCAAAGGATTCTGAAGTGTGCTTCATGGGCACTGGTTAAATTCAACAGATGGTGAGGTCACAGCCCCCTCTTCCCCTGGATTTGAAAATACTCTGTCTTCCAACCCTTCTTCCATGCCTTGACTAGTGAGAAAGACCAGAAAACTCCACATTGCTGTCAACTGGCCTGTGCTGTGGGTGCTACTATCAGGAGAGGAACGCCGTTTGTACTTTCCGGGTTACCGTTGACACGGGGGCTCGCGATGAAGCTTAGGCTGGCCCCAAAATTCACAATCAATCTGTGGATTTTAGGGGTGCACCACCACACTAGCTAGGCTTAAGTGTGCTTGTGTGTGTGTTGGGGGGCTGTGCACACACGTGTACATGGATGTGTGGAGGTCAGAGGGCAACACAGGCGCCTGTTCTATTCCTCTTGGCCTTATCACCTCCAATCAGAGTTTCTCTCACCGAACCTGGAGCCAGGACAGAAGCCGGCAAGCCTCAGGGCTAGGGACTGTGGGATGAGGCTAGATGCCATTCCTGGCTTTTTATATGGGTGTTCGGGATTCGAACTCAAGTCCTCAGGTTTCTAAGCACACATTTTACTAACTTTCCATGAGCCTCAGATTCTACCTCTGAAAAATGGAGATAGTGATATCTCAAAGTGTCATGGTGCTCGATCAAAGACTGGGTACCGAAGAGGGACCGTATCACCTTGGTATGGAAAGTTCAAAACGTGTATGAGGGCCCACGATGTAAGATTTGGTGTTTGGGAACATGTGCGTCCCTGGGGTACCCCCAGCTTGGTAGACGCCTCCTCAGTCCTGGACCGCTGAGGGTTAAAAAGAAAGACCCACGCCCCCTTTGACTGCCCAGAGCCCACCTCGCTGAATTTGAAAAGGCGGCTCTGGAGAGGCGTGGGCGCCCCCCAAGACGACTTCCACCTCGGACCCTGACTTCACGCCACCACCGGCTGGCTCCCTGCGCTCCAGACTGGGGCAACAGGGTCAGTCCAGCCATCTGAAGCACTCCTAATCGTCCTCCGGCTCCCGGGACCCTAGGTCCCCGCGGGAGAGCCGTGCAAAATGAAGCTGGTTTTGCTGTTACCATGGGCGTGCTGCTGCTTGTGCGGGTCGGCGCTGGCCACCGGCTTCCTCTACCCCTTCCCGGCAGCAGCCCTGCAGCAGCACGGCTACCCGGAGCAGGGCGCCGGCTCCCCCGGCAACGGCTACTCGAGTCGCCGGTGAGTAACGCCAGTGGCCGGGCCTGGGGGTGCGCTGATTGGATCTAGGGACAGCGGGAGCTCAGAAGAGCCGTGGCCCAGTACTAGTAACCCAGGACAGTGGGCCAGGGGCGCGGAGGGTTGGATCCAGCAACATCGGGGTTTGTGAGGAACATTGGCCGGGTGCTGGGGGAGTGGGATAGCGGATCATGGACTGGGTCGAGAGACTGAGGGGTCCCACAGAAGCGGTGGTCTAATGTTAGGAGAGCAGGGGCTCGAAGGCGTGAGGGCCAGATCGAGGGACAACAGAGGGTCCGAGGAGTTGAGGTCTGTTTGTTGTTGAGGTCGAGAGTTTGGGGCGCCGCCGAACTGGATCGCCGGGCAGTGGGGATTCTGAGGCTCAATGGCTGCGTGCTGGGGGCGCAGGAGCTAAATCAAGGGACAGTGTGGACTCCGAGGAATGGTGGCTCGGTGTTGGGGGATTCAGGACACAGCGGGGGTGGGGGGAGCGTGAGAATTAGAGCCAGTGAGCGCTCCAAGGCGCAGTGACCCCATGCTGAGTGCTCTGTGCTTGGGGACACACCACAGAGACCAAGAGGCGAAGTGGACCAGTTGATTGGGAAGGAAGGACATCGGGCTTATACCACGAGGCCTGGGGGCACGGAGACTGAAAGCCAGATGGGGAACAGTGGGGTGGCCTCCGAGGCACAGTAGCCCGGTGCTAAGGTCGCAGGCCTGTGGACTGCGAACGTCTGGAACGCACGACCGTAGGAACCTTGTAGCTGGGTGCAGAAAGAGGGAATGGATATCTCCATCGTTTGCTGAGAACCCCGAGCCTAAGGAGGCCGGGGCGCCAACTTATGTCAGAGGGGTTCTGGAAACTCGGGGCCCCAGCTTTGAAGGTCTCCGGTCGCGCCCACTCCGTCTCTTCCCATCACGGGTTGTTTTTTTTCTTTTTTTTTTTTTTTTTGGTTTTTGGTTTTTGGTTTTTGCTCTGTACCCATCGGGCCCGGGGCTTCGAATAGAGATGGCACCGAGTTGCATCCGGGAGTCGTAGAGGGAGCTCCTGGGACTCACAAGACTCTGGGTTCAGCCTCCACGGAGTTGCCAAGGCTCACCTGTGCGGCCTTGGCTTTGTGTTCCACAGTTCCCAGAGTTACCAAGGCCATGAGTCCTTTTGGCCGCTTGGCGACACTGGAGAGCCCAATTCCATCTGGTCTTTGGGGCCCGAGGGGCCGAAGAGACTTTGGCTGCGACTTCCCATTCACTCTGGGACGGGGTACCCATCCGGATCCCATGGCTCCGCTATGGGCTTGGTGGAGGCGCGGGGTCACTCAGCCCTTAGTGCCTGGACCCGCCCGCTCCTTCCATCTACCGCCAGGTGGTGCGCTACCCTCCTCCGATGGTTTAGCGCTGTCTCGCTGGTTTTTGAATTCTCAAAGAAAACGCAGCGCGCCCAAATAAATGTTACTAACTGCGTTATTTGCGCATCTTACAGAATTTAGCTTTCCCGGTTGACAATCTCTTCAATCCTAGCATCTGTACTAGCGCCACGAGATGTATTTTATATCTCACACCACCACAGAATTAAGGAATGAAGTTACTATCTTACTGCTCTTGCAGAGGACCCGAGTTTGGTTCCCAGCATCCACTGCACGGGTCTCACAGTATCGCCTCCTTTGCCCACATCTCCAGCTCCAAGCATCTGAGGCTCTCTTCTGGTCTCTGAGGGCGGACACTACACTCACACGTGGGCATACACACACACACACACACACACACACACACTTTACACAAATAAAACTGTCTTCTAAATTGAGAGTCTCCCTCTTTGAGTTCATTGTCAACACGCAGGATTGACTGCCACCTTCGTTCTCCAAACGTGTTCTATTATGCCCCTTCCTTTTATGGAAGCTAGGAACGAGATCCCAGGTCTTATTGCCAGTTTGCCTGTGATTTTATTTTGTTGGGAAATAAGTTTCTCGACGCTTCTGTTGGGAGAAAGCTCCAAACACCCTCGGAAGTGTGGACCGTGCACACTTCCGTGTGTGAAGATAGCAGTAAAAGCAAGCTTTGGAAGTTGTACTACATTCTGTGTAGTGTGAGCTGTGATTTCATTTTGGAACAAAACCGAACACAGGTGCTGGGGATTCAAACCCGGGTCCTCACGCTTGTGCCGCAAGCTGTCTTATCCACAGAGCCCTCTCTCCAGCTCCCTTTAAAACTTAAAATCTGAAACAGAGTCTCACTAAGGACCCTGGACCGGTCTTATACCTGTGACCTGGTGACCCTTCTGCCTCAGTTTCCACTGTAGCCAGGGTTACAGGCTTCCTCTGTTAGGTCTGCCTTGGAAACCAGTTCTTGTGTGTGTTTGTGATACTGTTTTTGAGCAGTTATCAAGTATAGAGATAGTCTTGGGACTAAACCAGAGAACTACACACACACACACACACACACACACACACCCTAATCTATAGATTTGCATCTCGGGATTCAGCCAAGTTTGGATAAGTAGATACCAGACTCGATGAGCATGACCAGGAATTTTATCAGCATTTTATAGCAAGGAGACCAGAACAGTTTGTGCTGGGAGCCACGGATGCTTCATGGATGCAGGATCCCTTTTCTTTGCCAAAGTTTGCTTTCTGGGGCAGGAGCAGTGGTTCAGGTGGAGCTACAGTGCTGAGCTACTGTGCCTGCAGTACCAGGGCTTGGGAGGCTGAGACAGGAGGATTCCTGGGACTTGCTGGTCAGCAAGGCTAGCTGAGTTATTGAGCAGGTTCAGTGAGAGACCCAGTTTCAAAAAAGTTTCGAGCGATAGAGAAAGACAGCCGGCCTTGACCTCTGTCCTCTACACGTGCACAGACACGCCAAAACGTGCACACACACAAGCACAAGTGAAACTCAACTGCCTTCATTCTATTTGGAAATATTTTCCAGAAGTTTCTATTAGAAGGATTCTCCAAGCACACACAAAGGTTTGTCTGTAATTCTATCGCTTTCCTTCTGTTCGAAAATATCTTTCTGAGGTTTCTACTGGGAGAGATCTCCAAGCAGCCTCAAAAGTGTGGACTTTGTACGCTTCCATATGTGAAGATAGAAGTAAACACGTTTCATACATTGTAAAAGAGTCTGTATGGTGTGATGTCATTTATGCAACAAAGTGGTGCCACACAGCGCCCCCAAGCCCCCACAGTGTCACACAGCTTCCCCCCCCGCCCCCCCCCCCCCGCCCCCGCTGAACCATAGTACAGGATTGATCCCACTGCTTTGTATATGTCAGGCAAGTGCTCCATATCCATTCCCCTTTTATTAAAAAACAAAAACAAAAAAACCCTGTTAGCTAATTTGTATGTGTTTGAGTGTGCCCTGTGTGTGTGTGTGCTGTGTGTGCATGAGTGTGTGTGTGCATGTGTGTTTGGATGTGTGTCCCTTTGCATGCTCATGTGATGGCCAGAGGAGAATGTTCTGGATCTGTACTTCTCTGCCTATTCCTCCACATCCCTCACTAAGCTTGGAACAAGGCTGGCAGCCAGCGATGCCCAGTGACCTTCCTGTCCCCAGGGTCCTCCCTCGACTGTGCTGGGCTTAAAGATGTGTTCCTCCATATTGGTGTTTTATGTGGGCCCTGGGGATTCAAACCCAAGTCCTTATGGCTACGCAGCAAGTCCCCTTAACTACTGAGACCTCTCTCCCCAGCTCCTTTGTAAACTTCCTTAATTTTGGAATAGGGTCTCTCTAGAGTGCTTTGGCTTGTCTTGGACTTGCTGTGTAGTGAAGACTAGCTTTAGTGTTATGATCCTCCTGCCTCAGCCTTCCAAGTCACCGGGATTAAGGGCATTTACTGTTGTGCCTGGCTTGGAAAATAATTGTGTGTGTGTGCATGTGTGTGTGTATATACATGTGTGTGTACATGTGTGTACATGTGTGTTCGTGTGTGTGTACATGTGTGTACATGTGTGTGTGTTCATGTGTGTGTGTGTACATGTGTGTGTGTCACTGAGAAGGGAACCCAAGAACTCATGCAAGGCAAGCACTCTACCCACTGAGCTATATCCCTGGGCCTTCATTTCTCTTTTCTCATTTTTATGTGTGCATGTTGTGTGTGTGTAGGTATGGGTATGTTTGCATAGATGCAGGCGTGTGTGTGTGTGTGTGTGTGTGTGTGTTGGGGGGTGTAGTATTTAACCACTGAGCATCTCTCTGGCTCTATTTCCCTTTTTAGAAACAGGGTTTCATGTACCCTCCTGACAGGACCCCCAGGTATATGCAAGGGGAAATCCTGTTCCACCCCAGTCTCTCTTACCTCCAAATTCCACCATTAAACTATAAAGCTGTAATGATCTATCCATTGATGCCATCTGAGCCCTCATGACCCAGATCATCTGTCCATGTTGGCTCTCTTTGGTCACCTCTATTAGAAACCCAGCATGGATCTCTGTGTGGGAATTGCTTTGGGAGTCACAAGAAAGGTCATTTTAAGTACAGCCTCAGTGGTCTGTTGACGGACTCTCAGGATCCTTGCCACCTGACATTGTCCCCCAATGAATGGTCTTGTACAAGTCCTTTAATTTCCTGGAACCTATCTTCTGCTCCATATGATACGGTTGCCATGGAAACCATGGTGGACGTGAGATGCTGGCAGCAGAAGGGGATGCAAGGATTGACAAATACCCATCTTACCTCATTCGCCTTTACATGTTCCCAATTGTTTATGTGTGTACACATGCCCACATGTTGATATATACAGGTGTCCACACAGATGTTCACATGCCCTAATGAACACACACACGTGGTGGACAGAGGACAACTTTGTGCATCCTTCCTGAGACACCATCTATATTGGTTTTTAAAGAAAGGGTTTCTTACTGTCCTGAAATTCATGGAGTAGGCTTTGTGGCTGTCCAGTGAGTGCAAGTCCTTATTTGTCTCCCTGGCACAGGAAGTTTGAACATGTACCACCACATCTGGATTCCTCCCCCCTCCTCACAGGAATCTGAGGATTATTGCTCTTGAAAGGC